TTTTGGACTTGAACATATGTTTGGGTCGAGTCTCGAATGGTTCGAGAGCAGTTCAACAATTATTATCCGAAGTTGGCATTTTGAAGGTTTTAGAAATTGCTAAGTTTGACTTGAAGCGTACTTTGGTGTTATCGAATCCCCTTTGGTATTCCGAGCCTGTTGGCAGATTAGTGTTGTTATATTAGACTTATGTGTGAAATTTGGTTTCATTCTGAGTTGTCTAAGGATGCTTTATCATGTTCGGAGTTAGTTGAAAGAAGTTGGAAGTTTAGAAAATTGATTAGTTTAGTTTGGGATGCGATTCTTGGTTGTGATGTTGTTTTATGTATTTTGAGACCTCGAATAGGTCCGGATTAAGTTTATTGACTTGTTAGTATGATTGGACGGAGTCTTGGGTGGCTCGGGTAAGTTTTGAACCACCCGGAGCATGTTAAATTTGGTAGATTTTGTTGACGTCTGGGGTGCATCACGATCGCGGAACAAGACTCACGATCGTGGAGTGTTTTTTGGAGCTGAGGGAGAGTCTTTCTACACGATCGCGAAGTGAAAATCGCGATAGCATAGGGTAGTCTGGTTGTGTTGGGCGTGTTTGTATGGTAAGGGTCACAAACGCGATGTGTTAGCAGGGCTGGATAGGGGAGGCAGTTGTTCAACGAGATCACGTAAAGGATTTCGCGATCACGAAGGAGGATTTTCTGGAGGTTAGCAGGCAAGTCTTCGCGTTCATGCTTGGCTGGTCGCATTCACGAAGGGTCTGGTCTGGTAAGCCTTCGCGATTGCGGAGACCTGTGTCACGGCCGCAAAGGGGAAATTTGGGAAGAAGCATATTTGTGCTCCATGATCACGAAGCTTTAGACCGCGATCGCGAAGGGTAACACTTGGGAAAGATATAAGTTGGGAGCTCAGGTTTGGCTCATTTATATCTATTTTCTCTCTTGCTATGGCGAATTTGAGCGATTTGAGAGAGTCATTTTCATCAACTAACATAAGGTAAGTGATTCCAACTTTTGTGGGCTAAATACATGGACTATATATGGAATTAACATGAAAATCGGTAGAATCTATTAGTTATTTTGGGATTTTGTTGCAAAACCTTGAAATTGGTAAGAAGGGGATTTGACCACGAATTGGACATGGAATTATGAACAAATTATATATTTAAGTTCGTAGTGCTATGAATAATATTTATTTTTAAGAATTTTCGAAACTCGAGCAAGTGGTCGCGGGGTTGACTTTTGTTGACTTCTCGTGTGAGGTTGGAAATTATTTCTAATTGATAAATTATGGGTTCTTGAGTATATTTTGATTGGTTTTCACGTTCTTTGGCTAGTTTCGGGTCATTTGACTTTGATTTGAGATGTTAGAGCGGTGTTGGAGCTGATTATTGAATTTTAGAGCAAGGTAAATCTCTTGCCTAATTTTATAAAAGGAAACTTATTCTCGTAGGCATTCTATTTGTTATATGCTATGTATTACGGGAGCTACATACGTACGAGGTGATGAGCATCCGTGCGTATGCTAGATTTTTATATGTCTGGTTAGACTTAGACTATATCATGCTTTAATTGTACTACTTGAGTTAATCTTGCATGTTTAAATGCTTTAAGATTATATTTTAGCATGAGACTAGACTAGTGTAGATTACAGAGCTATGCTATTCTAGAGACTTTGCGCGCTACTTGATTAGCCGCTACAATTATACTTTCTCTTACGGATTTACTCTCGTGTTGTACTTATTTGTTCGGAAATTTCATGATTTCTTAATTCGTACATGTATTCGTGAGTTGGGCTAGTGACCCGTTAGAAGTATCAAAAATTTTATGGGTAGGGGTGCTTATTGGGCGGATATTTATGCTTAACGGTTTGACTTATCGGTTATCGATTTATAAATTTAGCAATCCGCTAGACATTCAATAAGATATCGGGCGGATTGGTATCAGATTAACGATTATCGGATGATTTATCGGCTAAATCAAATAGACAATAAAAGAAAAGTAGAGATCTGGAGAATTTGTCATTTTATCTAACTTCGGAGTCTATCAGTGTAATTCCTTCTTTATTTAGCAACCGCTTGAAGACGAGTAATATATTGCTTGATGAGCATCACATGGCAAAGCTAAGTGATTATGGGATGTCTATCCTCGTGGAAGAAAGTTCAGACTTCAAATGAAGTTGTTGTCTAGCTGAGCAAATATTTTCATATTCTCAGCAAGAATATTTTTTAAACCTTACATGTTTTATGACGAGATTGGGAATTTGGGAGAAATTTTAATTAGGAATTTAGAGGATAGAGAGGAGAAAAGAGACGACTGTTGCGGGCTGTTAATCCTAGTGTTGAATTAAGATTTGACAAATTAGGGATTTAGGGTTTCAAATATTACTTTATATACAAAGGAATAAAAGTGTAAATATAAAAATTCTTAACGGGTTAACGCTTTATCCGATAAAGAAACTTAGTAATCCGCCTCCAAACCGTTAAGTCGTTCATTATAAAATTTCAATCCGTTCACCAACTATTACCCCGATAATCCGATACCAATAAGCCAATAAGTCATTTTTGCGGTTCAGTTAACGGTTATGGTTCGATTTTGAACACCCCTACTTATGGGATCGTGTCGTTTGTCTGGACAGAATTATGTAACACTACTCTTATGGGATCGGTTCGTCGCCTCGGTATGATTATATAATACCACTCTTATGGGATCGGTGGTTCGCTTCGCAGAATCGTGCGGAACATTCGATAGGGAGTCAGTGTGTGCATTAGAATTTGACACGGATCTTGACATTTACTTGATATTGGTTACTTATACTCTACTCGAGATGGAAATTGGGTACTTGACAGTTTCATATTTGTTTCTTTCATTGAAAAGCATGTTGTTAACTTTTATTTGTTGTGTTAGTACATGCCATGTTTCATACTTGTTTAATTTCTATGTATATTTGATTATTAGATCACTAGTAAGTGTTAATATCGATCTCTCGCCACTATTTTTTTGAAGTTAGACTGTACTTATTGGGTATGCATTGATTTACGTACTCATGCTATACTTCTGTACTAATTGTGCAGGTACCGAGACAGGTACATCTGGTGGTCACACACCCGTGTAGGCGCACTTGCTGGGGAGACTAGTGATGAGCTGTCTTTTATGCTTCGGTTTGCAGCACGCATAGTCTCCTTTCTCTTTACTTATTGTATTATGTCTACATTCCATTACATATAGTTATTGTAGTAGTATTGTACATTCTAGTAGATGATCGTACATTTGTGATACCGGATTTTGAGAATTTGTAGACTGTTTGTCATATCGTTGTTATGACATTCAACTTTATATTTTGATTATGTTTTGAATCTTGATTAAGATGTTAGTATTTTACTATGATTTGGAATTGATTTCGGCTTCTTTATTTCACCACTTGCTTTAAAAAGTGTTATGAATTATCGATTGTTGTATTGATTTATGTATTGCTTGCCTAACGGTAGTGTTGGGCGCCATCAAGACCTATGGTAGGAATTAGGCCGTGATAGTAATATCCTTACATATAAAAATAATGGTGAAAAAGTAAAAATTGTCACATATTCGGAGCTAACAAACGTCACATAACATCTATAAGTAAAATATATTTAACTTGAAATTAAAAAAAATTGACGTAATATAGCGCATGGTACCCATGCACTATATGAGTTTGATCCGGCTAACAACCGTTAGGCCCGAATTGTATAGCTCATGTGTACCATGCGTTATATCTATTTTTGTTCTTTTTTATCCACATTATTTGTGTTATCTTCTGATTTTTTTTCGCATTACTTTGGTTCCAGGGTTCTATTAAAATAAAAAATGTTTGAAAATTAAATTCGATAGATATTGCTGATGTGTACTTAGATTCTTAGCTATATACTAATTTGGAATTAGGTGTGGCAAAAGTGTTGAAAATAGAAAATCCATTTCGAGATTTTAAATTCTGAAGCTGAAATCTTACAAGATTGAGTTGTTTGTTGTTGAAAATTATTAGGTGTTATTAATTGGTAATCAAACGTGAAGATTGAACTATTATTAGAGCAACTTGTGAAAGAAATTTAAAACAACCATGAATGGATTTTAAGGGCTTGAAGAAATCAAATGGGTGTGTTCAGATTTGAATTTATTTGCTGAGATTAGTGTGGGAGGGGGCAGGGGTGGAGAGAGGAGAAAAAAAAAGAAAGAAGAAAAAATTTAAAGTGACTTTTATTATAATTTTGAGAAAGGATAAAAATTATCCCTTCAACTATGTTATTTAATCTACTTAGACAAGAATTAGGATTTAAAATTTATCCATTAGAAAATAAGGGTATAAGTGGTCCAATTTTTAGACGGCGAGCATATCTTTTACATCAGAAAATAACAGTAATGTATTTCTGACAGTAAAAGAATAATTTTGACCATATTCCATTAGATATATACATAATATTTTCTTAAAATTATGTGTATACAATAGACCAAGATCACTAAATTTGGACGATATAAACTATGCACCAACTGAAGATAACTTTGGTCGAAAGGGGGATGGAGGAGATGACACTTTTTCCCGTAGATGTAAACTTGGTGGGCAATTCAAGGAGAGTCCAGCCTGTAGATTTAAATTTCACACAGTTTCGTTTAAACATCTTATGTGGGGGACCTTTTAAATGTATTTGCTGAATCTATTCTGTCTTCACCAAAATATACAGAAGAGTCCACATGGAGATTCTGACAACAGATTGAATTGCATATTTTTCAGAGAGATTAGTGGGTGAAAGTAGTAATTGTGCTGACAACGTTGTACATATAGTCTGTTGTTTAGTTAATTACTGCATTCATATGCATCTCTGTTGTGTTTAAATGAAGCAAAGCCTTCGTACTCTTTAATTTGCCTCCTAATAAGGGCGCTAATTAAAAGCATTTACCTACCCTTTTACATTTCTGCTTAAATATAGGATTCTCCCATAGGACGGGGCAATTCTTTTTGTTGGTGCAAAGGCAAGTTCAATGATAATATTGATGCTTACAAATCTACAACCTATAATTGTTTGTGTCCAACTCTTTTAGCTTAATTAATTCTTTTTATCAATCATTTTTGTATCCTTTTAGTTGTTACTGCTTCTAACATTCGTTGGCCGTTTTCCATGTTTACTTGACAACTTTTTTGTACTTGAGTAGAAATGTCAAAGCACATCATTTTGTTATTTTGGAACTTCCCATTTTCAGTCCTTTTTTTTTTTTGGTTCAGATTTGTCATCATGGACTGGAACTTGAAGAGTGACCAATTGGAATGGGGCTGGGATAATAATATAAGCATTTGCAGTTGCTCGGGATTGGAGTTTTGTAGGCATGCAGAAACTTTCATCGATGAGAAGGAAGTAAATAAAGCTGAAAATATATATTCTCTAGATGGTTTTTCTAGCTATAGTTTGGACCATGGCTCTTCTGTCAAATCTTCAGCTGAACAATGTAATTATGGGAAAGTTGGTTCTGTGCCAGGTTTTGTAAGCGTGGAGAGAAAAGAGAAATATTCTACTTTTGGAACTTGTACAAGACCTGGAGAATCGTCAATTGGCTTAAATCTGTACTCTGCTAACAATGAGACTGTTACTAATTATCCTCTACTTCCTTTGTCATCTACGACAGCAAAGCGATGTAAGGGTTCTTATCATCTAATGCAGAATCCCTACTGCCAAGTTGAAGGATGTAATCTTGACCTTACAACAGTTAAAGAGTATCATCGGCGTCATAGAATCTGTGAATCCCATTCTAAAAGCCCAATGGTCTTTGTTGCTGGGATGGAGCGCCGTTTTTGCCAACAGTGTAGCAGGCATGTTAACTTTTGTGTACTGTTTATTGTCAGTTTTAGCACTTTTTTCCAAACACGTAACTGTTTATTTATAAAATCTCCAACATCATCAGCTATTCTAAATCAGCTAAACTAAACGGGCTCTAAGTTTATTGAGGATGAACAGATAGTATTTCCAGCTATTCTGCTGTATATCATCTCATCACTTCTTATTACTCTCTAGTACATTGTGCTAAGAGATTAATCTAAGAAATAGCTTTTTGGTTGATTTTGAAGATTCCATGAGCTGTCCGAGTTTGATGATAACAAACGAAGCTGTCGAAGGAGGCTCTCTGACCACAATGCTAGGCGTCGTCGGTCACAACCAGAGGCAAATCACTTTAGTTCAACAGGACGACCTTCTTCGTTTCATGGTGCCTTTCAACTTCTCTCTGTTGTCACTTTGTCTAGGATGTTTGCATATATACGTACACACATGTTCCTCCTGTAAAAAGAAATGCAATCTGGTGCGGTAAACTTCCGCTATATTGTCCGGGTCTGGGAAAGGTCGTACCACACTAAACCTATTAGACGAAGCCTTACCTATTTGCATTTCTAAAAGAGGCAGAATCCACGGCTTGAACTTGGTTGATCACATAATGGAACTCTTCCTGTTGTGTCAAGACTCCCTTCCGCACGTTCTTCGTGTGCTAATTAAATTGTTCTCAGTCCTAAAAGTTAAAACATGCCAATATGTACCTATCTGTTAAAAAGTGTATTTTCTGTGTCCCTAAAAGTACATTTTAGATTTATCTTTATTTTGACAGGGAAATTCTTGCTTGCTGCTTCTCTTTCCTCTGTCCTTTAGATATGATAGATTTGTTGTTCGATAACTTGCTTTATATCTAATTTCATACATATTAATAAGTGTCTGCCTCAATCTGAGCAGATCGACAATCACGTACTAGTGGTTCTTTAAGTGGATCATCTATGTCCACTTCAAATTCAATGGGGAAAAACTCTTGCCGTCCTAAGAATATACGAGGTATTGATTCTCTGATTCTTGAAATTCATATATGAACATAAAGAACTGTCTATGAAGGAAGCATAGGTCATAGGATGTTTGGACCAAGAGTAGTTTCATGAATTCGCCGGAGAAATAATTGGTTAATTCCCAAAAGTATGAATATAAAATTGTACTTGTAGTCAGGGGCGGCCAAGGGTCAATCAACTAAAGCAAAGACCCTCAAATTTTGAGTGCCCCAAATTTTTCTTTTTGTTTTCTATTCTATTTGAATTGAGACCCAAACTAATCTAGATTCATACAGCGTAAGGCCTAGTAAAAGAGAAAACACATTTTAACAAGATTTTTTTTAACCACATGACTCGAACCCGATATATCTAATTAAGTTAAGTTGGATCATATACACCTCACAACAATCTTTAGAGGAAGTGTCTAAATATATTGGGTATGTTAAAATAAAAAAATAAAATATTTTATAAAAAATAAAGATAACTTTTAATTTAGTATTGATGTAACCGTTTGAGCAAAAATTGGAGAAAGAGAATCACTCCCCCTAATATAAAACTTTTGAATATTTAAATTTTACGATTGATATTATTAGTGAGGTACCTATATTATTATTCTCCTTTTACATTTCTCACTAAAAATGTGTAATAAACTTTTAGAATCCTTTTTTTGGTATCTTCAATAGTCCAAGTCTTATTTTTTATCTTTCTCATCAGAAATTGTGTACTACATTCTTATATTCTCTTTCTTGGTTTCTGAAAAAATGCTTAAGTTCTCGATAACTTATATTGTTCTTTGTAGAAAGAAAAGAGTTTTATTTTTTCTATAAAAAAACAAGAGTTGAAGAGTACCGTTGAATAAAACTATATTGCGCATTATTTTTTCTTTTTTTTCTCCCTCAGGTTTCAAGCGTTTCAACAAGTATATTAGTACATCAAAAATTATTTCGATATCAAGTTATAAACTTCTTGAATCTGGTTCTATTATCTAAGATCAACAATATCTTAGAAGAGATTAAATTATTTATAAAAGAAACTATTAACAACTTTACATCTTAAAAAGCTAGAAAAATAGACTTCAATTAAAAATATAGATGAATTTTTTTTCCTTTTCTGAAAGGCCCCAGATTAAAAATTGGCTTTAGGCTACCAATCTTCTTGAGCCGCCACTGCTCGTAGTTTTTGGCACCCAAGATGTTTGAACATTCCATTTTTCAGTGACATTTCAAACACTATCTGCTATCACTTCTAATATGGCTATTTGTTCCCAACTTCCATGTTAATTATTTCAGGTTTAAATACATCTACAAGTGATTATAAGTTGGATGTTTCATCCAATCTTCAACGACGTGCTCATTCTCTTCTGTCAACAAATTCTTTGGGTTGGGATGATCCTACACATACTTCCATGGAGCAGCTTATAATGCCTTCAAGTGTCAGCGCATCACAGCCGTTTGTGCACTCTGTAACACCAAACTGGCCACAAGTTTCATCAGAACATTTTCCGGCGGATCATCAAGTGCCTTTCTACTCCCCACATTGCTTCAACGGATCTGCCTGATATGACATGTATGCAGCAGCTCTTCCAAGAGTTTTAATAGTTTGGCACATTCTTTTTCATGCCAAATAACTCATACTAGTAATGCCATCTCTTTCTAGTGGAGTAAAGATGTGGTAGCCTTCTCTTTGTGGTCAATTAGTAAGGCAAACAACGCAAAGCATGAAGTAAAGACGTAATACTTCAACTACACGAAGTCTCTTTGCCGCTTAAAATAAGTAGTTTCATAGCAGATTGTTTCGTACGTTTTCTAGGATCAGATATTAGCACCATCACAAGTCATTGTTGTCTTCCAATTGATTGAGAGTTGGCATTAGCGTGCCAAGCTCATTGTAGATGTTGTCTTTTTATTTGAAGTTTGTAGAACAAGGATGAGTCCCTGAGGCACAAGCGACAATTCTCCTTAATGACAAACCAACCTGCTATCTAAAATCTCCAAAACTACTACTATGAGTAAGTGAAGTAGAGTATTTGTTTTTCTAACTACCGTTACTTGAGGATTTCAGATCATGCACAATCCTCTTATCCTCAGATGGAAAGCAGGTCTAATGATCAGTATCTCTTTAAATATTGAACAACAACATTTGACACGAATTTTGACTGATTGAATCTTAATCTAGTGCCTTGAAAAAATCCTTGATCTAGTACTAGAGAAACTAAAAAAAGACAGCCCGGTGCACAAAGCATCTCGTATTTATGTAGGATCCGAAGAAGGGTAGCACCCCAAGGGGTGTGATGTAGGCAGGCTACCATGATGTTTGAGCGGTTGATTCCACGACTCGAACCCGTGACCTATAGGTCATATGGAGACAATTTTATTATTGCTCCAAGGCTCCCGAGAAACTATTTTTCGATTAAAATTGAACTGGAACAGGCTTAAATGATAAAATATGGATAATAAGGATTCATATTGTTGATCTTGACTTGTTTAAGACTTAGACGTAACCGCTGTATTATGATTGACTTAGAGGTGAGACTTGAGAGTGTAGTTGGACAATATATGAGTGAACATGTCAGCTTCCATATATAATGTGTATATTAAACTCAAAACATAAAAAATAACTCATCTTGGTTAGAATTGGGGGACAAAAAATTGTCTCTTGGAACTCCACCACTCACACCCATTTTAAAAAATTCAAATATTTCCTATCAATGTTGTATTTATTTATAGGCATAGAGGTTCCATGCCCTGGCCATGCAGTGTCGCCGGAGCTGTAATTTTAACAGATGATAAGGTCAACAAGCAGAGTAGTCGCAAACAAGAAGATAGTGTGACCTGACATAATTTCAGACCATTATGTTTGGAATATTTGGACCGGGTCACTGATTAAAATTTGGGCTTAAGACTAGGCCTAATTTCTGTCTTCTCTCAAAGGCCCAACTGATGACTCATAGGATAATTGATACAAAGATGAAATTTTGTTCTCATCGGAAGGAATATTGGTAGCTTCTAGATTATGTATAGGTGTAATTAATCCCGTTAGGATGTCAGAGTTTGTTAGAAGATTCTGTTAATTTGTTTTACTTAAACATTTTCTTTTATTCTTGTAAAATACTAGTATAAATAGGAGAGCTACAGTGTACAGAGAGATACGTAGGAAATGGAATACAATTGAAAATTCTATCTAGACTTCTAGAGTCTTTTTCTTTTCTGTTATGCAGCGCATGGCTTGTGCCTGAATTAGTACCCTTCACTAAAAATCAATAACTCTTTGTATCGAGTTCAAATTGACAAACCATTTGAAATATTAAAAATTATAAGATATCAAGAGCTACAACTTTCATCAAGTAACCTTAGCCAAATTTCTTTATATATCAAGATTTTTTTTTTCCAGGCCAAATACATAAAGAGCCCTTAAACTTGGCTCTAATTTTTACTTGGATACCTTAATTTATACTTGTACCTATTGAACACTTGAACTTCCATCAAACTGTACCTATTAGGCACGATTTGCTGACGTGGCAAAAACATTATTTTTCACTTCTCTAAAGCGCGTGAGCCTATTCAAAATCATATTTTTCTTCTTTTTTTATTCAAACTAATTTTATTTTCCAAAATCACCATCACCAGTAAGCTCTCATCTTCATCACTGTCAATCCTCCGCCACTGCAGCTATCATTAATTTTTCTTTCTCTGATAATATCAAATGTGTCAAACAAAATGTATCAAGACAAAAGTTACCTAAGCAAATGAGAAAAATAGAAGTAAGAAAAGTAAACATAAAAGCCAAAATGTAGACTTTTGCATAAAAAATATTATCTTAGGAGACAACGGATAGAAAGAGAGTTGTATCATATAAATCCACTTTCCTCTGTTTGGAAGTTATATAAAGAAAGTTGTCTGAAAATTCTTAAAGTGCCATAAACAAAAACTGACTAAGTTGAATAAAGATCCCTAATAAAGCTATTGTGGGCTGAATCGGAGTTCTGCCAAAAAAGTTGGTGGCACTGATTGCTAATATTGGAATCTAAACTACTATTGGTGATATTTTGAGATAAGGTGTAGTTAGATGATGATGGAGTTAGACGACGGGAGAGGGGGCCGGCAAAACCTCTTAATAAACTTTAAATATTTTAAAATTTTCTAGGATGTTAGTGAACATATTTGACAACAGTTCAATTTTACAAAAAAAGGGAGGGAAAAAAATAACTTAAATCGCTGTTATGAGTGTCCAATGGGTAGCATGATATGATCTAATAAACCTGTTAGCCTAAGTTAAATCAATGAGGAAATCAACCCATTTGTTAACTATTCTATAATACTCAGTTAAGAAAGTTCTCATCTTTTATAAGTAGTATTTTTTTTGTCCTCATAAAGATTCTTATTTAGGAACCAATTCTAGAGTACCTAATTCTTTAACAAAATACATAAGCTAATTAGCCTATTACGATGTCTTTTCAAATGTAAGCCTATACTGTAACAAGTTGAAGGAATAGTACAATATCATCACTGCTTTATATAAAAGACTAAAGGCAAACTTAAATTAACTTTAAATGACATGAGTGCTAATTTTATTTTTATTTCCTTTATAATGCATTACCAAGTATTTCTTAATTGTAGTTTAGTTGTATAAAAATGAATACTTTTTAACATAACATGTAATTTATGACGTACTAATTGATATAGTTTTATTCTATAAACTTTACTGCTATTTGAATTTATTATGTAAATAATGAAATTCATTATTTGATTAAATTTTCAGCCGAAAGAAAAACTTTTAGTTGATTTTGACAATGGTAACAGAAAAATTGAATTATTGGAAATCGCCAAACAAAAAAAAAAGAATTATGGAAAAAGGAACAAAATACAAGTACCCTATTCTCAAATCCTTTGCCGAGCTCTACCCTGTCCGCATTTCCTTGTGTTTTGAAGAGGAAAAAAAAAATCTCTCTACCCGCTGCCAATAGTCTTTCTTCGGAATTATCTGAATGGGTCGATCCTCCCATCCCGTTTGTTTTAGCAACTTATCCTAAGGTCTCCTCACCAAGAGCTCCCGGCGACAATAGAAGAAGCAACCCGTCTGCTATGACGGGACGACTTTTTTTCTTTCACAATAAGACCTGTACGATTATCCATGTTTATTAAAATTATAAACAATTTTATACTACAATAGCGCACACTTAATATTTTTTAATCAGAAAAAACAACTTCAATAGTTTGAAATTAAAAGTAATAGTGTTGCCTAAAAACTAATTTTGAATAACAGAACAATCCAAACATTGATTATTTTTTGTCCACATGGCACATATCAAACAAAATATTACTGGAGGGTGTCCAATCCCATGAAACCCTTCCATCCCGAAAGCGGCTCCCTCCATTACAGCGTCCTCCAGTTTGTCAAGTATACCTTTATGTTTATCACACCTGTCCATTTTCAGATCTAAGGGTTCACTATTTGTTTTAAGTAAAATCACCTCTTAAATCATGGTTAACTCAAAAATCTTACCAATTTGGCAAAGATAAATCAAACATCCCAAAAAATCACTAGAAAATTCCTTTTGGTTGGAGAAAATATTTTCTTACCATGAAAATCATAAGCCCAAGAGATAAACGGAGCAAGGATCAACAAACACAGAAGATTAAACCCATTTACCTGGTACAACAACAACAAAAGATAGCAAGGACAAAGAAAATCATTTGGTGAGCAAACGTTTTTCTGGAGATTAAGCCAAAACAGGTTCTTCTTCGCTCTTACACTATTTTTGCTGCTTCGAGGCCAAATATGTGTGTTATTATTATTCTTGTGGTGAAAATTGCCACTGCAAATATGTCTAGAAACTGGTTGATATAATGTCTCAGTTAGATTGTTTTGAGAATATTAAGTAAGAAATGGATACCTACAACTGTGTGAAATTGCTATACTTAAAGCACGCACGGTAAATTGAATAAAGCTCACAAGTCAACCCATCTCACATAAAGTTGATTGAAAGAGAGGTGTGTGTTAAATACTCGTAGGTTTATTAAATGATTGCAATTCAGTGGCTTAATGTTTATTTGCCTAATCGAAGGGCCTGAATGACTAATATGGATAACTCACATACTCGTATATTTCCATATAGTTTAATAAGATAGATATTTGTTTGCCTAATCGTGATATAACGTTGATTGAAACTTTTTCTAAAGCTCTTTCAATGATTTTTCCTTACTCATTTGATATTTCATCTAATAAATGAATTATGACATGTAACATTCTAGCTTTAGAAAGTGGATAGACTTGACTCTATTCAGTATGTTGTATTTGTGATTTCACCTCCTTTGTACTCCCTCCATATGTCTTGTAATCCATTTCTAGAGACATTTTTTTTTAATCATTTCTATGATTTAAGATTAAAGATTATTTGTCTTATTGACACCTTTTGTAATGTAGATTTATGGAGATCTCATCTTGTGAGTCTCAAGGTGGATTCAATGTGCCAATAAAACTTGGAATGGAATTTGATTCAGATGAGCATGCATATGAATGTTATAATGAATACGCGGCTGCAATTGGTTTTAGTGTCAGGAAAGAGTATGCTAACAAGAACAAAGTCCAAGGATATGTGACTTCAAGAAAATTTACATGTCATAAAGAAGGTTATAGAAGCAAAGACAAACGAGATCAGACAGTTCAAAAGCATAGAAAGGAAACCAGGACAGGATGCTTAGCTTATATTGTTATTAGTCGTCAGTCAAATGGAAAGTTTCGCATCACTTCATTTGATGAGAAACATAACCATCCTCTTGATCCTTCTTCTTTATCTCATATGTTACCGTCACAAAGAAAGATAAATGTTGCTCAAGCACATGAAGTTACTGCGAGGTATGGACATTTATGCCAAAACAGGTTCTTCTCTCTTACACCAGTTTTTCTGCTTCGAGGCCAAATATGCGTGTCCTTATTATTCTTGTAGTGGAAATTGCCATTGTGAAAAAATGTCGGTAATGTTTTTGATAAAATCTTTCAATTGGATTGTTTGAGAATATTAAGTAAGAAGTAAATATCTAAAAACTGTGAGAAATTGCGATACTTTCACACACAGTAAATTGAATAAAACTCACAACCTATTTCATATCTAGTTGATCTAAAGAGAGATAAGTGTGTTAAATACTCATTGGTTTATTAAATGGCTGGAGTTCAGTGACTTGATATTTATTTGCCTAGTCGAAGGGCTTGAATGACTAATGTTGAGAACTCGCATTCTCGTATATTTCTATCTAGTTTAATAAGTTAGATCATAGATGCTTATTTTCGAAATCTTGACAACCTATTTCACATAAAGTTTGATTGGAACTTTTTCTGAAGCTCTTTCAATGATCTTTTTTTACTATAACGACAACAACAAACGCAATGTAATCCCACAAGTAAGATCTGGGGAGGGTAGTGAGCGCGCAGCCTTACCCCTACCTTGTGCGGAGAGAGATTGTTTCAATGATCTTTCTTTACTGATTCATCTAATACATGAAGTATGACATGTAACATTCTTGTGTTAGCAAGTCAATAGGTTAGACTCCATTCAATATGTTGTATTTTGTAATTTTCACCTCAATAGGGTAATAGGTCGGAGTGTGTTTTTCTGATCCGTTCCAGGTTTATTAGGGCTAACCTGCTAGTACCTTGTCATTGATTCTCAGAGTGCTAGTATTAGGGTTGTTTTTAGTACTATCTTCCGATTCGGTTTTCTAGTACCTTGTCGTTGTTATTGGTTGTTGCTATTGCTATTGCTATTGATATTGATATTGATATTACTTCTTCCAATTGTTTTTCCACTTCATACATTGTTGGTATCATTTTCCTGGTCTTGTTGTTGAAATTTACTTGTTTCTATTCTTTCTCTCGAGCCGTGGGTCTTTCGGAAACAACCTCTCTACCTCTCCAGGGTAGGGGTAAGGTCTGCGTACCCTCCCCAGATCCCATTTGGGGGATTCCACTGGGTTGTTGTTGTTGTAATTTTCACCTCCTTTGTACTCCCCATATGTCTTGCTAAGTTGCTCGGACACGGGTGCAGATCTAGAGGTCGGATCATTTGAAATGTAAATTCTAAGATTCAGAGATACAGATCCTAGTACGGATCCGGGTGCGGGGATCCCGCTAAACATAATTCAAAATAAAATAAAATTTTAAAAATATCTCTAAATTATGAGAAATTTTATGGAATACTTACGTATAGCTTATAAAGTGTGGATTTCTTTTTTATTCTCAAGTTGTAAACAAGTAAATGATTGATTTCCTAAATAAGTTATGTTATTTTCTTCAAATTTACGATTGTTGATTTCGGGAATCAAATTGTATCTTGTCTCGAATTTTTCTGTCCGTCGTGGTTAAAGTACCCAAAATTGTTTGATCAGATCCGGTACGGATCCCATACCCACACCCATACTAGTGTCGTGTCGACACGGGTGCAACACCTAAACTTCCGTATCGGAGCAACTTAGATGTATTGTAATCCATGTTTAGAGACTTTCTTTTTATCAATTTCTAAAATTTAATATCATAGTTTTTTTGTCTTATTTACTCTTTTTTATAATGTAGATTTATGGAGATCACCTCTAGTGAGTCTCAAGGTGGATGTAATGTACCAATAAAACTTGGAATGGAATTTGATTCAGATGAGCATGCATATGAATGGTATAATGAATACGCAGCTGCAATGGGTTTTAGTGTTAGGAAAGAATATGCTAACAAAAACAAAGTCCAAGGGTATGTGACTTCAAGAAAATTTACATGTCACAAAGAAGGTTATAGAAGCAAAGACAAACGAGATCGGACAGTTCAAAAGCATAGAAAGGAAACCAGGACAGGATGCTTAGCTCATATTATTATTAGTCGTCAATCAAATGGAAAGTTTCGCATCACTTCATTTGAAGAGAAACATAACCATTCTCTTGATCCTTCTTCTTTATCTCATGTGTTACCGACACAAAGAAAGATAAAAGTTGCTCAAGCACATAAAGTTAGTGTGAGGTATAAACATTTATGCCAAATGTTTTCCCAAATTTCAAGTGAAGCTTCAGAATCAAAAGAAGGGTATGAATTGGCTGCAAAGTGTGCGAACGAGTTAGTTGTGAAGTTAAAGCATGTAAAGAAAAATGAATCACATGATGATTCAGCTCCAAGCAAGAGTATTGAAAATGAATTGAGTGAGACCGTATTTATTGATAACACAAATGCCACGAAGGTGACTGGGTTAAAAAGGAAGCAGCCAACTTGTCGCTCTAAAACTCTGACAATGAGTTTTATGGAAATGGCCAAGAGGAAAAATAATACCTCACTGCTAAAATCTCCTCAATGCCAAACTGACAAGAAGTTAGACCACCTTCCATCTCTTCTATCTTGTCAAGTCACATGTCCATCTTTATCAGATGCATCAATGACTACGGTATCTAATGACATCTAAATTTTTCTTTGTTTATCTTTTTTCATTTTTTATGACCATGAAATACATCTGGGCCCAACCCTTAGGACCAATCACAGGCTTAGAAACTCGAGGATTGATGGGTCAGCACCTATACCCTGTTTGACATAAATACTGGTTTAGCTCACATGGCGCAGGGCTTGAATGTGTGAATGTCACAAGTTCCTACTTTTGCCGCTTGAACTAAGCCCCTTGTTTATTATAACATTAAGATTTTATATATGTTTATCCTTTAAATAATAGGGAGTGGCAGAAGCAAGTTGTCTCAAGGATCATCCTATGAAAGTCTGACTCAACTCTTATAAGTTAGTGAACAAAGCTTATGATGCTTCTCACATGTATTTTTTCCCTCTAATTAGTAATGCTACTGATCCTAATATATGTCTTTTGTTAACTAATTGCAGGATGTTTCATTTCATGATTAAACAAGTATTCTCAATGTTGATTGTGGCAACTTCACACAAGGTAGGGGAAGTCTGCTATCCTCTGCCCTCCCCAGACTCCGAAAAAGCAAAGGTTTCATAGTGATGATGATTTATATGACCACAGTCATGATCTCAAAATTTAGATGTGTACTTCATTATCATTGTTATCATCTGACGTAGAAACTTGATTTTGCTCAATCGGTTTTGTACCACTTTGTAGTTTGGAATTGTCCTCTGCGAATTGAGTTGCTGCTTTTTTCGCAGCAAGGCTGCTACTTAACATTCATTACTAAGCCTGGATAATTGTACTTTATTGTGGAAAAAGAGCTTGTAGAAATGCCTTTTTAGCATCTAATCAGAAGTAGGAATCCAATGAAAGCATTCTTGTATTCAACATGGTATTTGATTAGGTGCAAAAGAATATTTTTGCCATAAGATGCAGTAGCCATTAACGTCTTTGTCCAGCAAAGAGTGATTGATGATTCTGCCCTCTTTTCCATTTTCTAGTCCTTTTATGAATTGACTTCATCTCTCACACTCTAATATTTACAAGAGGGGTGCAAGTGCATCTCCCTTGTATATCCAATTTTGTATTGCGCAAGTCAAGCTTGTTCCAGATTTCCATTGTTTGAAAAAACTAAAAGGATAAAAGAATAGCTAGAAAAAGAGATCGCTGCTATTTTTGTTAAATCTTTACAAAAGCATCATAAAAAAGTAAGAGTAGCTTGAAATTCATCATAGTCCGATGTTACGACGTCCTTCAATTAATGCGATGAGATTTTCTGCTGTCACTAAAGATCAAATTTAATTTAATGTCAAAGGGATTTTCATTTCTAACTTCATAATCTCAAACAGTCCAATAGAGTTACTTTATCAAATACATTATAGACATTTTTTCACACGGGCAGTTTCCACTACAAGAAATAGGGTGGTCAAACTGAACCGAAAAACCACACCAAATCGAAAAATCAAACCAAATTGATTAAAAAACCTGACTAGATTTGGTTTGACTTGGTTTGGTATTGAATAAAAAACCCGAACCAAACCGACATATAAATATATAAAATTTATATCTATTTTTAAGACTTTATATTGAATTTTCTTTAAAAAATGTAGAAATATTTGGGATCCTCTCGTGTGTTAACCTTGAAAGCGTACATTAACGAAATATTATTGTTAAATGACTAAGAAAATAACTATTATACAACAACAACAACAACAACCCAGTATATTATTGTTAAATGACTAAGAAACTAACTATTATACAACAACAACAACAACAACCCAGTATAATCCCACTAGTGGGGTCTGGGGAGGGTAGTGTGTACGCAACGCAGACCTTACCCCTACCCTGGGGTAGAGAGGCTGTTTCCAAATGACCCTCGGCATCCTTCCCTTCAAGAACTCCTCACCTTGCTCTTGGGGTGACTCGAACTCACAACCTCTTGGTTGGAAGTGGAGGGTGCTTACCATCAGAGTAACCCACCTTGTGTTACTAAAAAAAATTTCCCATTAGAATATTTTAATGAATCATATGTTTGTCAATTTTTTCAATATTTGCTAAACATATATTCCCTTATCAAAACTTTATCTATAACTTTAACAAAGTAAGATTGAAATAATATTCATGTAATAGAAAAATCCGAAAAATCCGACAAAACCGAACCAATTCAACCCGATATAGTTGATTTGGTTTGGGTTTAATAAAAATCGAATCAATCCGGTCCATGTACACCCCTAACAAGAATCATAAGTTTGAAGAGCATGTTTGATCACGCCTAACTATGCCTAATAAAAGGATTAGTGGTCGTTGCAAATATAATTCGATTCAAGAGTTCGGAGTCGAATCCCTCAGGGAATTAACCTATTAACTACCACTATTCGGCTCACACGAATTTAAGTAATTAATCTCCAGAAGTTGCAATATCTAGCTGTTGGTCTTTTAATACTAAAAAAACGGGTAATGTGAATGCAGTAAAATATCACTAGTGAAACTAAGTGTTGTAAACAAGAACGAGAAAGCCTAGAGCTTGATTTTCCCCAACTGTCGGAATCCTCCCCATATATTCCCTATAATTTAGCCTAGTTGTTCTCTAAGGATCGTGATCACTTCGGTTACCGTAATTTTCTTTCAAGTAACTACGATAGTCTACTAGACGCACTCTCTCGAATTATGCTAGTTGGTCTTTTTCTTGCCGCTCACTATGATCACGTCAAGATTTCGTTTTCTCTAATTCCACCTTTAAATCTTTCGTACTGATTTCTCATATACTTCTGGAGTAACGGTATTCAACGACATCCTAAATATGCAATCTTTCTCAAGTAAAACACAATAAATAAAAACCGCTTATTGATGTCCATTCAATTAGCTAAATTGAGCATGCAGTTGAACGCAGAGAGAAATTCAAGGCAAAATTATAAGAGATATAACGAGAGTTCATCCTCCAAAGGATTTAATCAACTCTAGATAAAGGTTTAGCTACTCATAATTATGCTAACAATCATCATATGAATAACTAAAAACATAAGACTACAAACTAGCAAGATTTGGACGAAGAATTGTGTAAATCCACTGCTTGCAATTGTTCCAACCGTATATTCCTCTTCTCAACTTGTCTAACCGCCAAAACTAAGTTTTTCAGAAGTATTTATATGCTAGGGTACAATTAGAGTCGGAAGTCCTAAACCGAGTAGGATTCAAAGTGCTTTGGACAGGGCAGGGCTCACGCACCTTTGGGACCTTGCCTTGGATCTCACAAGGACACGCCTAGCGGGAGGTGGACGACGCCTTCTGCCTTGCCTAGCGTCCTCTGGGGCTTCGCGCCATAGTTCTTTTCGTGCTTTATTTTGCTGTCTGTGATGCCTCTTTGACCAATTTTCATTTCACTTCCATCCCAAATGAACCTACACACAGAAACACCTCAATTAAGCACAAATATAGCACGAATCATTCACATTTACAAGTAACCCATAGGAAAAATGACGATATAAATATATCATATTAGCCTTGTGTCAACACCCCGCACTTAAACGTTACTCGCCCTCAAGTCAACCAAAACCAAAGGAACTCACGACGTCGCCCCCTCAAGCAGCAACACCCTTGATCATGTTTGATAGCCACACTTAAGTTCTAACACAACATCCAACAACCACTTCCCATAATTCATGCCAGCTTCCAAAAAATTTCAGAACATGAACAATGCCCATAACAATCCTAGCCTCGAGAACTAACTCAATGTCATAATGCACTCGAGGCTTGAATACCCAATCTAATCAAGAAGTCTAATAACGCGATCTATCCATCGTGAACCCTTGTGCCCTCACAACAAAAATTACAATGAATAAGTAGTCCACACATCCAAATCATATGATCGAATGTATTTTAAGGACCCACACATATGGAAGAAATCACTCACTCTCACAAGAATTCTCACGTATGCAAACAGTACCATAGGCTTACCCATTATGTAAACATCTACTAATATAGGGCCGCACGGTCGAAAATCAACTAGGACTTTGTTATGATTGTAACGTGGACTAAGAGATAAGTATGATATATATATATATATATATNTTCGATTCACTTAAAACATCACAAGTAAGATCACCCCAAGACATGTTCCCTCTTTCTTTAAGTACTACTATAATTCCTACTCACTAGCAAGGACAAGAGCTCTTTATCTCTCTTTTCTAAGTATATACATATATTTTTTCGTTTATTTCTTTTCCCTTTTTTTTTCTTTCTTTCGCCCCGCTAGCGGTGCTTTCTTACACATTCACATGCACATGTATTCCTTCTATTGGTTCCACTCAAAAGCTATCCTAAAATTTTTCATTACTTCTCTAGCGCTATCTTTACAACTCAAGTGCTCTAAGAGGTAAGGATCAAACCAGTTCAATTAAGAACAAAAGGATATATGCTTGTAATGTGGGTTGCAAAGGAAAGACTTATAGGCTCAAAAGTGCTCAATAGGGATGATTTTATTTGTGATAAGCAATAGAGCTCAAAAAGGATCAAATAAAGCCTAACATCATTTTTTAAATCGAGCAACACCTAGGATTTCGCTTCAACTCATATCTCGGGCAAGTCTAGACTCAAATGAAATATATGAACTATGAAAAGGACTCACTTCACATATGGCATATGACTCACTAAGGAAGATCCCATTCCGACTCTCTAATCAAACAAAGATTCACAAAGCCAAGAAATATATTAAGCATTAAGCACAAAGTGACCACGAGTAAAGCAACCGAGCCCTAGGAGTCATAACACATGCTATTCATTATTATCAAGGCATTATTATAAATTTAGCACAAAGGGAAAGTGAAACACATGCCAAGACCTACGCATGCAATCATCAAACAAGTCAAAAGACACTTGAACTCACATTCTTCTTCTCTTCCTTTATTCCCTAAATCCTACTCTAAAAAAAAAACTACCCCGTTAAAGTTACATCCCATGGAAAAGAATTGAGACACAAAGAAAAACTATGGGGGATTATTACTATATAAGAAAAATCAAAAAACATGTTTATATATATATATATATATTAGACTTTAATTCTTCAAGAAAAATGTCTAAGAGATCCACTGTCGGAAAAAGTTCACTCTTTTCTAGTTTTTTTTTTCTTTTTCAAATTAAGGTCCTACTAAAAATATTACACTAACTGACTTTGTTTTACTACGTTAAATGGGCCACACAAAAATAATAAATAAGAAACTACTTAAATAAAACAAGAAGCTACACATGTACTACTATAATACTACTACAGTCCAAAGAGAATCTCCCACCCCATACTTAGAAAGATTTAGTGGGCGTTTGGACATAAGAATTGTAAAATTTTAAAATAAGGGAAAATTTTTTTAAATAAAAATGGTATTTAAAATTTAGAGTTGTGTTTGGACATGAATATAATTTTGGATTATTTTTTGAAGTTTTGTGAGTGAAAATTTTGAAAAATAGCTTTTTGAAAATTTTTAAATTTTCAAAAATTTTCAAAATGTATCTTCAAGTGAAAATTAAAAATTTTATGAACAAACACTGATTTCGAAAAAAAAGTAAAATATTTTTGGAAAAAAAGAAATAATTTCTTATGTCCAAATGGGATCTTAGTTTCCTTGATGTAGAAAAAAATTCAAAATTAGAATGGGTGGATAAGAAACTCCCTGGTCAATCATCAAAGTCATCCTCAGCGAAAAAGGCTTCGTGCGCTCCACACAATCATCGGCATCCTCGCCAAGATCCTTATCTCCATCGTTAGCTTCTGCTTCAACCTATTCCTCCTTGCCCTGCAAAGAATATTTGGGTGTATTGATGTCCTCATTAGAAGGCACACCCTGGCCATTGCAATCCCAGCCAAATGTTATGCATGTACATGGAGCGGAAAACACTCATCCAGCTGTGTACACTCCTCTGGAGTGGCAGGTCTACCATC